TCCACTCCGCACTCCCCCCATCACTCACTATGGTAAGATTTTTTGTTCTGATGATGCCTTATACCTGATCCCTTCAACACCTCGTGATTGCATAGGCTGGTGTGCTTCTTCCATGTGGGCGAGAGAGGGATCTTAAGGAGATAATCACCCCACTAGCTCAGCCAGAGCCTCCTTCCCCGAGCCATCTTCTGTAGAGCTACAGCTTTATGTCAGTTTTCTTCACTTGGTAGAAAAATGTCACGTGCGCGTGCACGCACACACGCACAATCATGGTAAACCAAATCAAATGTTCCATGGCTTATCTAGGAAGAACACAGGAACTATTATTGGTATTTTGGATGAAGAGAATCAATTTTGTACAGTTCGTTCCAATCTGAATAAAATGCGAGTTTTATTATTTTTAATCATGGTTGGACCTGGTACCTTTGAGGTGAGTGAACTTCAAACAGGCTATTTCAGACAGTGCACATTTATTTACAATTACAATCATAAATCAAGGGAGCAACAACCACAAACACTAGACTAGACAGATTAATGATTAATTAGTGGTAACTCCCCAACCGATAAGGCTTTGTAGAATGCCAGCTCCTCTTCCTTCTGCTCCTTGCGTCTCACTCCAGTAATTCTGACTGCTTACTTTCTTCCTCTTCCGAACTGAGATTTCCTGCGGGGAAAGAGAAACAGGAGTATAGACTTCGTGTTGCCTTTTTTCTCTTTTGATTCTAAAACTCTTTCCTCACTACCAGGTCCTAATAATAAACAGTGCCCTAGACATTGAGTGTTCATCAGGCAAAACGGGAAGGGTGCATTCTATCCTATGCAGACGTTTCTAGATTGTCTTTTGATATAGCGATATATTCCACAAAAGATAGACTCATAGCTAATGCTAAGAAAAGAATACTTCGGTGAGAGTAAGCTCAACTATTATCTTACATCTGCATATGATGTTGAAAGACAACCAACTTTGTGGAGTGAATGCATTATCATTTGTACCTTATATTCCTAAACGGAAAAGCAGGAGTTTGCGATGTTCTTACAAGATGCTATCATTCAATGTTTTGCGAAATTTAGAATTCTTTGATTGTTCAACTCCGTAACCCTCACAGATGATCATGTCAAAGACGATATGGCAGAGTGAGCCTCAGATGTAATGTGGAAATCGTGATACATAGACCTAGAATTAGGATGATAAACTGTCTTTTCCCACTAAGCCCACTGCTTTAAAATGCACTCGTTTAAGGCAGAGTTTCCCAGCCTTGATACAGGTGCCTGTCTTCGCCCAGGTAATTCTTTGCTATGGGGGTTGTCTGTGAGCTTTACAGGAAGTTTAGCCACAGAGCTGGCCTCTTCCCACTAGATGGCAGTAGCAACCCCATCACCCTCCTCCCTCACTGCCATCAAATGGATTCTGACTCTTAATGACCCTATTTTTAAAATAATAGTAATAATACTGATTGCCATGAGTTAATGCCGACCCACAGCGACCATGAACCCCACGTGATCTCACAGTGGGTCTTCAGGGGCCGCTAGGTCCTGCAACCTGTCCAGATGGCCTTGCTCCAGGGCGCCTTGCATCTCACCACCGCCTCCCTCCCCCATGCTCACCATGATCCATGTCATATCGGAACTCGTCTCGGGTGTAGTCCTCCCTGATGCTGTCTCCATCATCATCACCAAGTCTTAAAGACTCCTCGGCCTCAGAAGCATCCATCTGCCCCAAGACATCCTCCCCTGCATCTCCTCCTGAAATACAACCCAGGCAAACCAAGCCCACGGCTGTGGAGTCCACGTCGACCCAGGCCAGTCCACCGTTTATCGGGCAGAAGGGAGCTCAGTAGGGTTCTCTTGGCTGGACTCTACAAGAGCAGACTGCCAGGCCCATCTTCTGTGGCGCCTCCCACCAACCCTCCGGTGAGCGGTCAAGGGCAAACTGTTTGCACCACCCAAAAACCCACTGCTGTTGAGTCTGCTCTGACTCATTGTGACCCTGCAGAGGATTCCCAAGACTGAGATCTTCATGGGAGCAGACAGCCTCGTCTTTCTGCTGAGGAGCTGCTGGTGGGTTTGAACCACTGACTTTGTTGGAAGCAGTCCAGTGGCTAATCCACAGTGCACTCAGACCTATGAAATATGTACAAACAAGCCCAACTCACTGCCATTAAGGAGCTGATTTCATAGGGCAGGGTAGAACTGCCCCTGTGGGTTTATGAGACTAACCCTTCAGCAGACGAGAAAGCCTCGTCTTGTGGTTAACCGTCTGATGCGTAGCGTACACCACCACCAGGGCGGCAAAACTGAGGAAATGGGTACAGGGTAGGCTGCGGGCAGGAGCAGTGCTGCCAGTTCAGTGCCGGCTCTTCCCCCTCTGAGAGGAGCACTGTGTTTTCCCTGTGGGGAAACCCTGTCCCCAACCACCTGAGGGCCCCTAGCTCCAGCCTGGGACTGGCTTGTTGCCCTGAGTGGTTCAGGGGGGTGCCTGGGTCCCACGCTGGTCTGAGAAACCTAAGTCCAAGGGTTTGGTGAGGATAGTGAGAAAGAGGAGCCTTGTGCTCCCAGATGCACAAGCTGGGGCCATAGTTACCAGCCGCACCGCCAGGAAGGCTGGGAGCAGAGCCACGTGGAGCAGAGCAATGACGACTCCACCCAGAGGCCTGGTGGAGGCGTGCCTGGAGCAGTGTTCACCCTGCGCTTTGCTGCTAATGTGACAAACACAACCATCATCTTCGCTGTGTTCCAGAGGGACTCGGCTCGGCTCGCCTTCGCCTTCCTTAGAAAGACCCGCCCGCTTGCGCCCCTGCCCCACCCGGTGCAAGGTTGCTAACGTGCCCTGGCACCTGAATGCGCTTAAGGGACCATGATGCTGAGCACGGAGAATGGCTGTCAGCATCTTATCTCAGCATCTGTGCCCACGGCCACGCTGTACCTGGTGACTCACGCCCAACCCACGGATTCAAGGTGAGGGAAAGAGTGTGCAAGCCTCCGAGGTGGTGGAGAGCTGCGTCCCTCTCTAACCAACCGCACTTCTCTTTGCTCCCACGGCCCCGGGATTTTTTGTGACAATGGATGTGCTGATCCCACGGTGCTCACTCCCTAATAAACACCCTGCATGCGAATCTGCCCTGCTTTGCTCCCTGAGAGCCCCAAGAGGCACATACCGGCGGCACCCCCAGCATCTTCCTGCCCAGGTGCCGTGTCTGCAGGCAGCGGCTCCTGGGGGATGCTCGGCGTCCACAGGGCCAATTCGGTGATTTTGGTAGCTTTCCACTTGGGAGCCAAGGTGGTCGATGCTTCCTCCTCTTCTTCCTCTTCGCCTCGGTCCTGTGGTAAGTTGAACAATGCAACCTCACTAACGTTTCATCGATTCCGTGAGGAACGAAGGAGAAAGGGGCACGTTTGGGGTTGGCTTCTAGCACTTTTATGACCCTTATTTGGTGCCTAGCCCAATGGCCAGCTGCACACAGGGTGAGGTCCGGGCTGAAATGGATCTTGCCACATCCCTGAAATGAGAACGTTCACTGGACCGGCGGTGGTGACCCCACGTGACAGGTTTGCACTGTCACTCCTAAGACCCTCAAAGTGAAAACGGTGCTATTGATGAGTGCTGGTCCTGGGATCCCTGTGTGGCAGAGCAGACCAAGCTGCTGTGGGGTTTGCCTGATGACACGGGGCACCCAGGACTTTCATCTTCGCAGAAGCGGGTAGTCAGGCCTTTCTTCCACATGGTCTCCTGGTGCGTTGAACCACCGGCATTCGGTCAGTAGCTGAGTGGAGACTGTGCGGGGTTCGCACTGTCTGTAACTCTCCAGCTCCGGATGCCCAGGGTCAGCCTGACCAGCAATGATGGTGAAATGATGGGACTTGGTCCTAGCACTTTAGCTCTATACGAATGCATGCAAATAAAGATGGAAAAACGCAAAAACAAAGTGACGTGAAAGCGCCCAAGAGTTGGCCTCGTGGTTGCTCAAGTCCCCCCTAACCTTTCATGTGCATTACAAGGACTTGAGCGCCCTTTTACCTGCGCACATAGGAAGCGGCATGCACTCTGCAGCTTACCAATTCCGATATGCGATATTCCCCGTGCTGTTCACATCCAATGTCAAACACATACTTCCCGTGACCGATGGGCTGCAAGAAAAGAAACCAGAAGGTTCCTCGTCCTGTCAACAAAAACACGTTACTACCGTGTGAAGCTGACCCAACGTCATACAATTGGGGGAAACCCAATAGAGACTCCAAAGTGCTAAAGGATGAATAAAAGCACAAAGTACATGTCCTATTTGGGAAACCTGGTGGTGCAAAGGTTAAAGCACTCATCTACCACCCACGAGGTTGGGGGTTTGAACTCACTGGTCCCTCCACAGGAGAAAGGAGCTGTCCCTCTGCTCCCATCAAGATCACAGCCCAGGAGACCCTGTGGGACCCTTCTACTCTGATAGAGCGGGGCCCTGCGTTGAAATTGATTCAACAATATACACACAACGACAATAACAAGACAACAGCAACAAGTCCCCTTGTGTTTGCCTTTTAAATCGTGGACAGTTTGTTTCTTCATGAAAGTGATGTGTTAATTACACAAGCACACTACCAATGGGCCAAGCAAGAAATCAAGAGAGAAGTGACTCAAAAAAAAAAACCCAAAAACATATTGAGAAAGAGGGTGTTCAGAGCAGAGATCCAAATCCCATCTGTAGACAATAGGACATCCCCTCACAGAAGGGTCAGAAGGAAGGGATGAGTCACACGGGGCATAGTATAGCACCAAAGAAACACACAACATTCCTCTGGCTCTTTGAGGCTTCCTCACCCCCACCCACCCCCACTATCAAGACCCCAGTCCTGCCTTTCAGTCTGACTAGACTGGAGCATGTACACTGGTACAGATAAGAGTTCAGGACACACGGAATCAGGTCAGATAAACCCCTCAGGAACAGAAATGGGAGTAGCGATACCAGGAGGGTAGGGGGAAGTTGTGGAGAGGAGGGAAGGAAGGAGGAACCAATCGCAATGATCAACACATCACCCCCTACCCACCCCCTAAGGGGGATGAATGACAAATGTTGGGGAGGGGAGACAGTGGTCGATATAAGATCTGAAAATAATAATCATTTATAGTTTATCAAGGGGTCTCGAAGGGAGGGGGAGGAGCTGATACCAAGGGCTCAAATAGAAAGTCAATATTTAGAAAATGATGGTGGCAACATATGTACACTATGCTTGATACAACTGAGGTATGGAATGTTGGAAGAGCTGTCAGAACTCCCAATAAAATGATTTGTCTTAAAAAGAGAGACGTGGCAAATGGCATCGAGTCAAGTGAAAAAGAAAGCACTTACCAGGGTGTGTGGGCTGCCGTGGAAGCAGTACCAGAGGGAGACACCTGGGCATAACTGCCCATGTCAAGAGAAGAGCCGCTCACATGAGCACCTTCACTGGAGGGGACTCCCGGGAAAGAGGGTGACAGAGGGATGCGCTGCTTCTTCCTTCTACACGAAGTAGCCAGGAACTGTGGGCACAGGGGACACCTGGAGCCCTGGATCTCTGAGAAAGGGCAGCGGAGCGCTCCGTACACACTGACGGAACCATCCCGGAGCAGAAGCCACGGCGGTCATCAGTGATGCTCTGCTTGCCAAACGAAGTGGTCCACCTGCACTGCTGGGCAAGCTCCCTGAGCCTACTACCAGCTGAACAACCCCTACCACTTCAGAGAGAGGTGGGCCCATCCTAGTTCCCCACACCCTCCAGGTGAACGGGACAGAGAGGGCACTGCACCTGGGGCAGGGCACCCAGCACACAAGGCAGCTGGGGCCGCCTGAGGAAGGCGCGGGCCAGGCAGGAACGTGGCACGGCACAGGAGACCTGGTGAGTTTAGTTAAGGGAGACCCAAACACCTCCAGTTCCCCACGACTATCTCCCTGTTGCCTACGCTGTAACCCACTCCCCAAGGCAGAGCTGGGACCACGCACATGGCCCCCAGCTCCAGCAGAGACATTGCCCTCCTGGCCTGGCCTAGGACACAAAAGCAGTCCTTTGGCCGAATGTGCCCTCAATCTTTGCTTTCCCCTCCTCTCGTCCTATTGTACTGATAAACTGCCAGCCCCCCAGGAGAGAAGCCGCCCCACACCCAGCGTGATGCTCACACTCCCTGAGGTCCCCAGAACGCAGGCTGGGGACTGAGGGCTGGTGGGAAAAGAGCAGCCAACTGGTTGGTCTGGTTTGGTTCTGATTTGTTTTTCATGTGGCTCTCTTCTTCCGATGTGATGATAAACTAGCAGCAGAGAGACGTGTGACATAAGAAGCAAGGTCAGGGTGGGGGAGAGGGTGACGGGGAACCGATCACAATGATCGATGGACCCCACCCTACTCCGCCCACCCACCCCCCATCCCAGGGAACAGACAGCAGAAAAGTGGGTGAAGTGAGCCAGCAGATGGTGTAAGACATGGGGGGAAAAAGAATAATTTATAAATGATCAAGGAGGCAGGGGGAGGAATGAGGAGCTGATGCCAGGGGCTCAAGTAGAAAGAAAATGTTTTGGAAAAGAGGATGAAAACATATGTCAAGATGTGTTTGACAGAATGGATATATGTATGGATTGTGATAAGAGCTGTAAGGGGCCCCAATAAAATAAAATAAAAATTAAGGGGGAAAAAGACTCAAGGAATAATCATCTTAAACTCCACACGATCCCCTGTAGACGAGAAACGTCTGACAGTCTACCCTCGCACACTGGCGAATACCCGCAACTGCTGAGATCTCGGCGGGATTCCGACAAGCACACACTGGAGACCGAGACAGAAAGGCAGCTGTTAATTCCACGCGTCTTGAGTGGGGGCTGGGGAGGGCGGCATTCCTGTTGATGTGGTTGTTTCCAAGTTTATTTTATTATGGTCTTTTAAAATTTGCTGCTACTGTCACGGTTGTTGCTGCCTCCTTTTGAGGGGAGGAGGGAGTATTGTTCCTTCCTTGGACCACTTGATGGAATCCACTGTCCCCACATGACCCCACCACACCCCCACCTTAATGGTTGCATCCCAATGTCACAGAGGCAACCGTGCATCAAAGTCCACGTGAAAACGCAGAAAGGCTGGTACAAACAAGTGACGCATGGGCCGTAGCTGAAAGACCGGCCTAAGGAAGAAATGCCTTGGAATGGCCCAAAGAGGATTTGGAAAATGATAGTCAGGTACTTTCAACGGCTGTAGAAAAACGATTAAGGGAGCTATGGTGGGGAATCCATGAAGAATTATAAAACAACAATAGCAGCGAAAAGAAAAGCACTCTAGAAGATTAATACTAAGATAATGGAATTAGACAACACTTTAAGATAGCAAAGCAATACAATGGAAGCAATGGAAGGCCAGATTGGCGAGCTTAAACACAAGTATTTCAATTCCAAGCTACAAGAAGAGCAATAAACAAAAACCACAACCGAAAAAATATATATATCTAAAGGAAGCCTGAAAATTATGTGGGGCACTACCACGAGAACGACTTACTGTATATGCGCGAGTATAAGCCGACCCAAATATAAGCCAAGGCACCTAATTTTACCACCCAAAACTGGGGAAATGTATTGACTCGAGTATAGGGTGGGAAATGCAGCAGCTACTGGTAAATTTCAAAATAAAAATCGCTACCAGTAAAATTACATTAATTGGGGCATCAGTAAGTTAAATGATTTTGAATATTTATTTCAAAGAAAAACAGTCAACGAGCTCTGTAAGTGGAAAAGGTCAACTAAAACAATGTGGTACAACAATAACTTTAAAAGTACAAAAACCTTAGCTCAATCAGCAACCAAGCTAAAACACAAGAGTTGAAATCCTTCAAAACTGGATTCCTCCTCCTCATCTGTCTGTCCACACAGAGCTTTGGCTTGAGCTGGTATGAGGTCATCAGCATAGACGTTGTCAACATCACTGAGTCCACAGTCTTCACCATCACTGCTGTCGCTCTCGTACAAAGCGCTGTCCCCAGTGCCATCCATGGCACTGCTGATGCCACCTCTCTTGAAGGCGCGGTGCACCATGTCCTCTGGAATCCCTTCCCAGGCATCACAACCCACTTTGCTATCAATTCTGTCGGGCTTCATCAGATTTCCAACTCTTCTCAGTCGGGCTTGACCAGGTGACATCCAATCATGCCACATGGTTTGCACAAGGTCTTTGAAAGTTTATTGAAACCCACATCTAGGGGCTGCAAGACAGATGTAAGCCCACCTGGAATAACGGCCCAAGTAACTTGAGAAGACTTTGCCAATTCTTCATGTCATCAGATGTGTGGGCTCTGAACATATCCCAAACTAGCAATGAAGGTCTTTCTTTAAGGCTAATCCTGGTCGTCTGTTCCAAATGTCTTCCAGCCACTTTCTTGTTCCATCTTCATCCATCCCGCCTTTAATACGTGCACTGTAATTTGTGGTGGGAATTTGACCTTTTTAGGCAAGGTCTTTCTTTTAAAAATAATGACAGGCCACAGCTTAGTTTCATTAGCCAAACATGACACGACTGTGAAGTGGTTTTTTTCATTTCCTGTGGTTGAGTCAAATAGTAGTTTTGTCTCCCAAACTTGCCACAGTTCTGTTGCTGGGAAGAGCAAAGGTTATAGTGTTTCATCCATATTCCTAATATCTCCCAGGTCATAGTTACGGATCCATCTTTGTTTTTTGAAGAATGAATAGAATGCCATCACTTTTTCATCACGGTCTTTTGGAAACCTCTGTGAAATCTTTGTTCTTTGCCTCAAGCATAGGGCAAATCTACTCATGAAGCGGGTACACCATCCTACTGACACAACAACATTTCCAATGCCTGGTGCTTTTAATTTGTCGGGCACTTTTGAAGGGCACATAAGTGAATTCCCATGCGTGTTACGCAGTACCATTTTGACAACACTCCATAACCCATTTGTGCAATTCAGTCTCTAGAGCCCCGTAAGAAGTCGTTAAACCATGTTGAGTATTTTTTGCCTTTGGAATCTTTTCTAAGTCAGCTTTCATTTTCCGCCACTCCCTCACTTGTTGTTTGTCAACACAAAATTCCCTGCTTGCAATACTGTGATCGTTTTCTAAGTTTGAAACCAGCTTCGTGTGACCTGGTTTTTGTTTTGGTCCAGGATTAGAAGCATTGGGATCCATTTCTAACAGAATTTTTTTTAAAAGACTGAAAAAGAATGCCTTACCATAGCAATTGAATTCTCAAAATATACCGGATGCCCTACTCCAAAAATAAGCCCTAGTTATAGTTCTTAAAAGAGGCTGATTTACAGTAAAAACGGTAGTGTCCGGGCAACTATACATATAAACAAGTAAAATCAATTGGCAATAGAATGCAGCAAGACAGACAGACTTCACCATGGAAAACAGATACCCCGCAAAAGAAACACACTCAAAAGACACCATGAGATCCAAAACATGCTGGATCACTGAGGAAGCTGACAGTTATTCAGGGTTTTGAGAGTTTGGTATGATAACATTCCAGAATGTAATGACATGACTGTGTTTGCATACAGCAGCCTGTGTTAGGGCTCATACTATACACGCTATATTACTGCATGCACTGCATTACTACATACACTGCCTTACCGCATGTACACAATGCAGCTTGTATAGTTTGAGGCCTGATACAGGCTGATGATATTCCAGAATGTGATGGCATGACTGTTTGCATAGAGCAACCTGTGTCAGGACTCATAATGGACACGCTGCGTTGTCTACGCACTGTATTACTGCACACGACCTTCCAGTACTTCATCAGCTGGCTGAAACATTGCCATTGGTACTCCACCAATGCCTGGAGCCTCGTTTTGAACTTCTCCTAAAATCGTGGAATGTTAACAAGTTGTCTTTGGTACAGTGACTCTGTGTACTCTTTCCATATTATTGTGATGTTTCCTGCATCATTCAATGTTTTGCCCATAGACTTTTTCAATATTTCAACTCAAGACTTGAATTTTGCCTTGAATTCTTTCAGTTTAAGAAACAGTGAGCATATCCTTTGTTTTGTTCTTTCTTTTGGGGTTTCTAACTCTAGGTCTCTGCACATTTCATTATAATAGTTCACTTTTCTCCTGCAGCTGCCCTGTAAAGTTTTCTGTTCAGCTTTTGTATTTCATCATTGCTGCATATTCCTTAACTACTCTACAATTAAGAACAAGTTTCTACAATTAAGAGCAAGTTCCAGAATTGCTTCTGACATCCATTTTGTTCTTTTCTTTCTGTCTTTTTAATGACCGTGTTGCTTTCCTCATGAATGATCTTCCTGATGTCCTCCCACAGCTCATCAGACCTTCTGTCCTTAGTATTCAATGCAGCAAATCTGTTCTTGAAATTGAGGCGGGACAGACCCAAGGTGGTATTCTGGCTCTCATGGGCTTATTTTAATTTTCTTCAATTTCTTGGGAGAAAGATGAGCTTCCTACTCCCATAAAGAGTTACAGCCTCAGAAACTCACCGGGGCAGCTCTACCCTGTCCTACAGGGTCTCTCTGAATAGACATTGACTCACTGGCAGTGAGTGAGATACCTGTGGATGTGATCTTATTTGGAAATACGGTTTCTTCTATCTGGTTAAACCATGGAGCCCTGGCGGCATAGTGGGTCACACTCTGGACTGCTAAGTACAAGATCAGAAGTTTGAATCCACCCGCTGATCTTCAAAAGAGAGATAAAGTGTTGTATTCCTGTAAGAGTTACAGTCTCAGAAACCCACAAGGCAGTTATGCATTGTCCTACAGCATCCCTATGAGTTAGATTTAACTGGATGGCAATGAGTTTGGGTATCCGTTTTGGGGTAATTAGATCATACTTGAGTCAGGTGGGTTCCAAATCTAGTCACTTCTGGTTTAATAAACTACAAATTAGATACAAAAAAGTATGGCTATCCAGAGAGCCGATGAGAGGGGGTGGAGGAAGATAAACACTAAGGAGCCAAGGAATGCATGAGGCTCCTGACAAGGAAGGAATTGGCTTAGAAGATCCTGCTTTGGACTTATTGCCTGCTGAATGGCAAGGAAACAAATTTCTGTTCATTAAAGCCACCTGCGTGTGGTACTTGAGTCATGGCACCGTAGAAACTCCTACACACCAATCGTTCTTAGGGTCCACCTGCGTAATCCTGAATAAACTCACTGCTTCCTGGGGTTGCTACACAATCTTTCATGCTGCTGTTGTCATTTTGATACCACACAGATACATTCTTAAGAAACCATCATGCACAAGGCAAACAGGATTTACTAGTTCAGCTAAACTACTGTTTGGTTTTAAGAAAGTTTCAGGAGATACTTTTCGTTTAAGTTTTAAAGGTTATCTGACGGTAATAGTTTTAGGGGTTCCTCCAGAAAGTCTAGAGTCCAGAAGAATTTGAAATTCTGTTCTGCATTTTCCCCCTTTAGATCAAGAGTCTCCTATAGAACCCTTCATCACAAAGGTCAGTAGTGGTAGCCTGGCATCATCCAGTTCTTTCTTTGGGTTTCATGGCCAAGGAAACAGTTGTTGAAGGAGGCAAGGGGCCACACATTCCATGCCCTCCCCGATTCCTGGTTCTCCTTCTTTCTCTGTTGTTCCAAGTGGACAGAGACCAAGTGTTATGCCTTAGGTGGCCTCTTGAAGGGTTTTTTTAAACAATTTTATTGGCATATAATTCACATATCATACATTTTAATAGTTTGTTCATAATCCAAAGAGTTGTGTAAAAATATAGAACACTTCCTGAACTGCGTGTCATCCTTACACAGGGTCCACGCTAACCTTCTCTGTGTTGTTCCAACTTTAGTGGATGTGCTGCCAAAGAAAACACCTCTCGAAAGCTTTTGAGACCCCCTAGCACTACGCAAAGGCGCCCCAGTGGTGTAGACAGCTATAGATGGTGCAGCAGAATGCTAACCACAAGGGCAGCAGTTCAAACCTAACAGCCACTTCAAATGAGAAAGATGAGGCTTTCAGCTCCCATAAAGATATCCAGCCTCGGAAATCCACAGATGTAATTCTACTCCGCCCATAGGTTCTCATCGCATTTGTAGGATTGTAGCCTTCAGTATGGATCATAACTCAGTGTCAAGAAGACCAAAATCCTTGCAACTGGACCGATAGGTAACATTATGATAAATGAGAAAAGGTGGAAGCTGTCAAGGATTCTGACTTGTTTGGATCCACAGACCATGCTCCAAGCAGCAGCAGTCGAGAGAGCAAAAGACGTATTGCATCAGGTAAACCTGCTGCACAAGACTTCTTTAGACTGTTGAAGAGTAAGGATGCTTCTTTGGGTCTAAGGTGTGCCTGACCCAAGCCATGGTATTCTGCATGGCCTCATATGCACTTGGAAGTTGGACACTGAATAAGGAAGGCCATAGAAGAATAGGTGCATCTGAGCGGCGGTGCTGGAGAGGAGTACTGAAAGTACCAGGGCTGCTAAAAGGACAAAGTGATCTGTGTGAGAAGAAGTAAGGCCAGCGTGCTCCTTAGAGGCAAGGATGGCGAGACTTCGTCTTACGTACTTTCGACATCTTGTCGGGAGAGACCAGTCCCTGGAGAACATCATGTATGATAAAGTGGAGGAACATCAGAAAAAAGGAAAGGCGTCAAAGAGATGGACTGACACAGTAGCTGCGTCAGTGGGCTTGGGCATGGGCACCGTCATGAGGATGGTGCGGGACCGTGCACTTCCGTTCGGTGGTGCACAGGGTCACTGTGGGTTGGAGCCAACCTGATGGCGCCAAACAGCATCACAACATAGGTTCTCTATGAGTCAGAATCAACTCGATGGCAATGAGTTTGGTATTTGAATTTTGGCACTATAACAAAGCACTAAATCCGTTATCAGGCCAATTAACTAGCATGTCCCATGAAACCATGACCCTAAACTGCCAAACTGAGCCACAAAATCCCTTGTGGTTCCTGTATTAAGCAGCCTTATTAATTCTTCTAGATTAATTTCTGTCACATTATCTTCCCTCCTCCAGCTTCCCACTCTCAAAAAAAATATGAATTTAGCTGGCAATTACATATCCGTTGCATAGACTTGAGGAGGATATGCTGTTTTCATGAAGATGAAAAGTAGAATCTATGGTTCTAGGAAAGGAACCCTGGTGGTGTAGTGGTTACCTGTTGGTAACCTCAAGGTCAGTAGTTCAAAACCAGCAGTCACTCCGAGGGAGAAAGACAGGCTTTCTACTCTCTGAAACAGCTACAGTCTTGGAAACCCACAGGGGCAGTTCTACCCTGTCCTATAGGGTCACTAGGAGTTAGCATGGAATTGATAGCAGAGAGTTTGGGCTTGCTAGTTAAAGACATAAATTATATGTCACTGGAAACTGGGTTTTAGGAGAGTCTGAAAAGACTGTGTTGTTCTCCATGTCCACTTCTGCTCTTTGGTCCAGCAAACTCTTCAGCGAGTTCCCTCTCACCCACGCATCCCATGCGGTCTCCAATCACTGCCATGAAGTAGGTCCCAACTCACGGCTACCCTACAAAGCCTTGTCTTTCTCCAGAGGAGAGTGGTTTCGAACTGCTGCTTTTGAGGTTGGCAGCCCAGAGCATTAACCATGACAACACCAGGGTTCCTGCCCAAGTGGCAGGTTTTGAAGGATGCGGGAATCACTGCATCACACTAGCACCCCGTACAGGAAGGACACACCATCACAACACCCTCCAGGGGAAACCTACTCAAAACATCATCCACCTGCTCAATTTCGAGAAACATGAAGAGTGGTTTCAGGCTCATTCACCAAGAAGGTTAAGATGCTCCCCTGTGTTATAATGAGCCAGCCATGCTGAAGAACCCCGGAATGTCTTCTGAGATACAGGCCACGCCCCTCCCCTCTCCCGCCCCCACCACACCCTTGCCTTGGTGGATATCAGAGCCTGAACCAGGATTTCTCAGAATTTGGCACAGCTGGCCTGTCCCGGTGTTTGGAGCAGGAGAGGTGGGTCTCCCCTCGACCTGGGGGGAGGGGCCGTTGTGTGTCTCAGTCGCTCTGACTTACGTTTTTGTTCAAGAACTTGCCCTGGTATCTGTGGTTCAGGTGAATGAGCTCGGCCGCACCCTCCTGCTGTCCGTTCACCCAGGTACCGACGTACTTGCTGCCTGTCTCTGCATAGACGTAGGTGCCTTGCCCGTGCCTGGTTAAGACAAGGGGGCATGCTGGCATTTTGTCCCACAGTAAGGAAAGCCCTTGAGGTTTACAACCCAGAAATATAACCCGAGGGTGGCCTGGGTTGAGGCTGGCCGTGCGGACAGACCCACGCGCTGGCTGTTTGGTCTCTGTGTCTGAGGGTGCCTTGCACTCAGTCTGCCCGAGCTTGGGGCACCATGGACAGACAGACGTCCACCCAGTGGATGAGCACTGCCTGCGGGTCCGAGGCAGTCTTCAAGCACTCAGCGGGTCCCATGGGGCAGACATGGAGCCGTAGGGAGCCCTCACCTCCCAGAGCCCAGGAGTGCCAGATCCCGTGTGCCCAGGGGCTGCCCCACGAAGACCTCGGGCTAGCACTCGGCCTTGAACCACAGAAGGCCAGTGGGCTTTCGTCGGGCTCTGTTCTTTGATAAGTGTGATCGAGCACGTGTAAGGGGGGCGGACAAGAAAAAAGTGGGTGAAGGGAGACAGCGGTCGGTGCAAGACATGAAAAATAATAATAATTTATAAATTATTAAGGGCTCTTAAAAGGTGAGGGGGCATGGAAATGAGCTAATACCAAGGGCTCCAGTAGAAGAATATGTTTTGAAAATGATGATGACAACATATGTGCAAATGTGCTTGACACGAGGAATGTATGTATGGATTGTGGTAAGAGCTGTAAGAGCCCCGATAAAATGACTTAAGGAGGGGTGGGGGCATTGCTAGTTGCCATTGAGTCAACTCTGATGGACGGTGACTTGAGTCGAACAGGGCTCCGTGGGGTTTTGAATGGCTGATATCTTCTTTTAAAATCATTTTATTGGGCGCGCATACAGCTCTTATCACAGTCCATCCATCCATCATGTCGAGCACATCTGTACACCAGCCGGAAGGGCTGATATTTTCAGAAGTAGACTGCCAGGCCTTTCTTCCAAGGTGCCTCCAACCATGTGTCAGCAGCCGCGTGCGTGCACTGTTTGCACCCCAGCCCCAGGGGCTTCCCCAGAAGGGTAAATGTCGCCATGTGCAATCTCACCACACGAACACATGCGCGCAGCTGAAGACGGAAACCAGACCTTTGGTGAGCGAGCCAGTCGCCTGTGTAGGTGTCGTTGTTGATGTAGTAGTACACGCCATGGCCGTGTCTCTGGTCATCGGCCCACTCCCCTGAAAGGGACGACACAACATGGCCCTGAGACCAAAGCGCGTCCACGGACCAGGTCCCGGGCAAGGTTGATGGCAGAGGCAGTCTTGCCCTAAAGCTAGCGAAGGTTCTGATTCTGGGCCTGACAATGTGCTCACAGGAGCGAGGGTTTGGGAGTGGCCAGGAAGGGGTGAGGACCTAGAGAAGCGAGTGCTGGGTCAGGACTCACCTGATCCAGGTCAGATAAGGTGCGGGGGGCGGCGGCGCAGGACCACATCTCCTGTGTGGACTGGCAGCAGGTTGCCAAAGCTGGTCGGAAGCAGAGCCAGAATCCAAATGCAGGTTCGCCTGGGCCAGTCTAGTGCCACGGCCTCGACCCGCCACCCCCTTACCTGCCTGTGTTTAGTGATGCCGGACCAGGGCTCTGGTCCCTCAACTCCAAGGTTAGACAGGGTGTCCTTAGTCACGGGCCAGCATTACAACCGATTTCCCACCCAGCACCCAACACTTCTGCAGTCCAGTTGCCCCGGCAGCCCCAGGGACACACTCCCTCCATGTTCCCGATGGACAGCATACTCTGTCACCCTGCGCCTCTGCTGGAGCCTGCGCGCACGGAGCCGCCTCCCCACCCAGGTACATGCTAATGTCTTGCGGACGCCATGCGGAGGCCCAAAACGGGCGAGGATGTCATGAGATGTATAACATCCCTCGACAGCCGAGGACAAGGTACAATGCCATTTGCTGAAAATGCTATCGTGATCCTGTTAGGGGGCCCTGGCTAAAAGTCCCTCAACCTGCTCCCTGAGCAGCAATAAGCCTGCTCTCCACCCACAGCCCTTATCAGATTTTCACCCTCCCGGGACACTGGGTGCCCATCCTAATCACCCAGGGCCAGGCACCCAATGACTAGGGATGGCCCCTACTTCCCTCATTGTTGTTATGAGGTGCTATCACGTTGGTTGCAACTCATAGCGACCCTGTGCACAACAGAGGGAACCCCTGCCCGGGCCTGGTCCACCTCACAATTGTCCTTATGTGCGAGCCCATTGTTGCAGCCACTGTGTCAGGCCATCTGGTCAAGGGTTTTCCTTTCTTTGTTGTTCACTGACCCTCTACTTTACCAGGCATGGCCTTCTCCAGGGACTGGTCTTTCCTGATCACATGTCCAAAGACGGCCCTTTGGCCCACAGAATGATTCAGAATGCCTGATCCCCAGGAAGCCCACAAGACCTGGCAGCCCCAGCCAACATGCCCTCCAAGAGCCTAGACTTGCAAGGCCAGCTTGCTGTTGCCTGGCCCCCGGGGGCAGCCCCCTGCGTGGCTCTGCAGGATGGTGTTCTGTGCCTTGCTGCCCCTGGGGACTGCATGGGCAGCAAACCTACTGTCTTCCCCCGACTCCTCTCTCCTGCGCCTCACCTGACTTCACTAGAGAAGGCAGCAAACTAGGTGACGGATGGGGGAATCCAAAGAGCGTGTAAGATGAACGCAGAAGGGCCTCAAAGCGTATACTTTACATGTGAAGGAAACTTAATAGCCCTTTTCACACATTTAGCAAGTCTCCTAAAAATGTGCACAACCGTGAGAAGAGCAAGTTAAACTGAAAGACACTTTTTGAAATGATGAACAATTAAAAAAAATTTTTTTCCATCCGTTGAGCAGAGAGAAAAAAATGAATTACCTTCCTGTTTTAGTTGCTGTCATTAGATGCCGTCCAATCTATTTCAATTCATTGGGTCACAGCACTGTCAAGCTTGTGTACCACCTGTGCGCGCGCGCGCGCGCGCACGTGCACACACACACACACGCACACACCATCAGGTTAATGCATTGGGATGCTAACCACAAGGTCTGTAGTTCAAAACCACCAGCTACTTCTTAGGAGAAAGAAGAGGCTTTCTACTCCCATAAAGAGCTACCGTCTCAGAGATCCACAGGGGCCGTGCTCCCCTGTCCAATCTGGTCACTATGAGCTGGGAATGACTCAGTGACACTGCATGTGGTTTTTAGGAATCTTTACAAGCAGATCAAGAGGTCTTTGTCCCAAGGAGTCAACTGCCTGGGTTCAAACTGCCAACCTTTTGGTTTGAAGGCCAGCACGTCCTCATACCATCATGGCTATAGCCAGGGCTACGGATGAGTGCTATGAAATCATGGTTGTCATATACAGATATATTCCAAGAGTATTTATTAGCTTACAACGCGGGGGAAGATATTCTAGATGTGTGACAGGCATTAGTAAGGCTCCTGTTACTAGCTTGGATTGTGTGCTGTTTATGATATTTAAAATGTTTTAGTTTGTTCTTATTTCTTTTCTCATTACAAATTAAAAAGGCACTTTATGTCAATTTTATATCTTTTTTTTTTTTCATTCCTAAAGAGGGCCCTCAAAACTTATATATGCTTCAGGCTTATTTACAAAAACAAAAAAAACCAACAGCTCCACTTCTACAAATAGAACACACAATCTGCTAAATGAAATGTGAATGAGCCAAGCAATATGTGTTTACATGAATAAACACCAGCATTTATCTGCAAAAGGGAGTTTCCGCATATTTGTCAAAATCAAAACAACATTTATTCAGCACCCGTGACGCCCTGAGCATTCTGTGAGGTATCTAGACATAAAACTGAAGCCAAGCCCACTGTCCTCAAGGCTGCTCTGATTCAAAGTGACCCTGCAGGACGGAGGAGAACTGCCCCCTGGGGTGTCTGAGGCTGCAGGTCTCTACAGAAGCAGACCATTGCCTCTCTCTCTTTCCTGTGGAGCAGTTGGCAGATTCAAACCACCAACTTTTCAGTTAGCAGCTGAGCACTTAACCCACCGTGCCACCTGTGCTCCTCTACTGAGAGTTGTACAATAATTACGCATGTCCTCCAGTAGCCTGCGCTCCGCTGGAAGGGTAGTGAGACATGTGTACTCAGTGAAGTACCAAAAAAGGCCCCATACAGGAATTGACTGTATGGTTCACAAAGTGAATCATAGTTCAGGAGAGAAAAAGGATGACGGCACTGGAAAGTCTGTAAAAGATTCTACTATGTGTTACAGAGTTGTTGTGAGTTAGAAGTCACTCACTGGAAAGAGGTCAGGGCTGGTGGGCAGACGTTTAAACAGTGCTCAGTGGTCAGATAGAGATAGAGACTGGTAGAGCCCCAGGTCTAAGGCTGTTAGGCACCCTCCAGGTCTAGAATTGAACTCACCCCCTGGCTCAATTTTCAGCCAAAAAACGGACAAATCTAGAAAAGGGACAGGAACACTAGTGAGGTGCGCACACTTTGGAATCCTCAAAAGGGCAAAGTTCAGATGGGTTAGGAAAGAAAGTAGGAAACGCTGGGAGGAAGTGGGCAGGTGGGGACAGTCCATGGAGGGACTGCAGTCAATGAGCTGTAGCACAATGTGTACAGATTATTGAGTGTAAAGCTGGGGACCTGCTCGGTAAACCTTTGCCCAATTCACAATAAATGTGCTTGCTTGCTTTAAATCAAACCCAGGAAACTGAGCTCTGCTCAGTAGATCCCAGGGCCACCGTAGCAAACCCTGCCCAACTGAGGAAGGTGATTCCGAGAGCGGCCACTTCCTGGAGCAGGGCATTAACAGTCACCAGGCAGGTTGCCTTTTTTGAAGTGGATGGCTTTTCCTGTAGTTTATTCTCTTGTTTCAAATCTGAATTTCACTATTATTATTATTCAACTCCTTCTAATTCTACTATCTCCCCAGGATCAGGCCCACTGTCTTGGTTCCTCATTGGAGTTGGATGAACCTTTGAGTTCCGTGGGGTGCATGGAGGGGGTGGTGAGGGGTTGGAAATAAGGAACGAGCCATCCTCCTGAGACGTACAATTGGCCCGGAAGGAAGAGTGGCTGAGTCAGGAAGAGCCAGCTGACAAGAAGACCTCCTGGGCCTCAAGAACCCATGTGTTGGCCAGAAGAGGTGTGACCCAGAAATGGCACGTTGCAAAAGGAACGTCAAAGACACCAATGGTACAAACCAGTTGCCAGCAAATCAATGCCAAATCACGGTGATCCCCTCATTTGTGTGTCTGACGTGAATGAGACTCTATTGGGTTTGAGGAAGTTGATTTTGGGGAGAAGTGCATCACCCGATCTTTCTTCTCACAGGCCTCTGAGTGGAGCTGACCCTCCAAACTTCTTTTTTTTTTTTTCCAGCAGCCAAGTACACTAACCATTTGCTAGACAAATGGTACCCAAAACCCCTGTGCCATCAACTCGGTTCCAGCTCTCTGAAGTCGTGGTCCCACTACCTGCCAGGTATGTTCTCACCAGGCCTTGTCCCTGCAAACTGACTCACTGGAGAGAAAGTGCTGGCCACAGAGGTGGCCCTGTTTCCCATGGTGGATTGCTGAACTAAAAGGCAGCCTGCTTTCTCCGTCCAGCAACTAAGTCTAAGAATGCAATTTGTGTTCGTTAACTGATTGGTTAATCCGGAGAACTTAAAGCCATTTCTTGTATTTCAGTATCCACAGACAAGTCTGATCCCCCCTCTCAAATATATCTACATTGTTTATATTTCATTATATATATATATATGACAGTGGGGAAAAAACTGATTCAGCACAATATGTCACCTTCATAGCGTGATCCATCCGGGTATACAAAAGTGCCTTGGCCATGCTTTTTGTTCTTAAAATATTCTCCAATGTAGCGAGCACCATTTTTAAATTTGTAGATTCCCTGAAACACATGGATCATGTATTTCCTGTGATTCCTGAATGTGCAACTCGCTCATAGGTTCAACCCAGGAAACCCTCTGCTCAAGCCACCGTGCTTACCTGGCCGTGCCTTTTGCCGAATTCATACTTCCCTTCATAGGTGTCCCCGTTGGGCAGTCTGGCTCTCCCCTGCCCGTGCCGTTCACCTGCTTCATTCCGTTCCCCTTCGTATTCCTGGGGAGAGAAACTGGGATGGTGACAGCACCACTGCGTAAGCGCTCTCCATGTGCCAAGCGCTCCATAAATGCGTCCGAATGATGCCCGCTGGCACAGGATACCAGGGACTGCTACAAGAAAGAGCGGCTGTCTTGGAAGAAGTGCAGCCAGAATGCTTCTTAGAAGTGAGCATGGAGTGATTCTGTCTCACATGTTCTTTGGGCATGTCATCCGGAGGGACCAGTCCCTGAAAAGGGGGTGTATTGCTTAGTAAGCCAAGAAAAGAGGAAGACCGCCGAGGAGGTGGACGGACGGACGCAGCGGCTGGAACACAGCAACGACTGTGAGGACGGGGTAAACCAGAGCAGTGTCTCGTTGTCTGGTGCGTCTGAGCCCTCACATATTTCTGCGCCATGTGCAACGTTCCTGGTCTCAAGGGGAAGTGGTTGGCCAAGCCCGGACCAGGAAAAGCATAGGTCCAAGGTTCCGCAACTGGTGGCTGGCCAGGGTGGCAGCCACCTTCTTTCCTAGAACCCAAGTGTACAATCTGTAATGAGAATCCTCTACACTACAAGCAAAATCAACCAATCTGAAAATTACTAGGTACTTCAAGGAAGGTTCTTTATAGCAGTGGTTCTCAACCTTCCTAATGCCTCGACCCTTTAATTAGGTTCCTCGTATTGTGGTGACCCCAACCATAAAATTATTTTCGTTACTACTTCATAACTGTAATTTTGCTACGGTGATGAATCATCATGTAAATATCTGATATGCAAAATGTATTTTCATTATTCCAAATTGAACATAATGAAAGCATAGTGATTCATTACAAAAACGATATGTAATTACATACGGTGAAATATTTCTAATTACAAATAAATGAAATTTTGTCTTGAAGCATGGTGTAGCAGCACTTCAGAAGAAAGGCCTGGCCATCTACTAAACAGCTACCCATGGAATCCTATGGCGTACACGCCTACTCTGACACACGGTGGATTGCCATGAGTTAGGGGTGGCTACAGAGTAAAAAAGCAGATAGTAGCCGGTGCTGGTGGCTCAGTGGTAGAATCCTCACCTTCCATGTGGTAGACCTGTGTTAGAAGCCTAGCCAATCCCCCTCACGCACAGCCAGTCCACATCCCTCAGTGGAGGCTTTCCTGTTGGAGGGGTCTCAGAAGAACCCACAAACTAAGACGGACGGAAATAAAAGGCCAGGCTATTGACTTGAGAATCAGCCAGCAAAGACCAGACTATGTACTTCTGAGAATTAGCCAGGGGAACGCATGTGGATCACAATGACCGGATCTGCAAATAATCATGGGGGTGACGCAGGATGCAGCAGGTGTCACCATGAGACGGTGAGACTCAAGGGCAGCTAATAAGAGTAATGTATATATTACTATCATCGCCAGGCTTGTGGATTCCATGAAGATGGTGAGGTTCTCACTCCTCATAAGCACCCCAGGTGATTCTAAATGGACATGGGAGGCATGCAGCATTGGGAAGACAAACCCCAAACTCCAGAGACCGAGGACTCCAGAGCTGCAATGGGTATCCAAGTGTCTCGTTGTACTCACCCAGTTTCCCTGTGCCACTTAGAAAAGAAATCCCTCTTTGATGGCAGACTCAATAGACCTCTCATGTATACAATCCCACGCTCCCAAAGACACCCAGTTGGTTGTGATGGTTGCATGATTTCACCAATCCACCTCACACCTGCATTCTTGGCTGGAGGCCAAGTACCTGTGAGTGATTCCAAGGTTGCAGTACCAGCAATATGTTCTTCACACATGGCAGGGGAAGGATGGGGCTCCCAGAGCAGCAGGGAGCACAGACGGAGGACAGCTGCAGCCAGGTGGCGCAAGAAGACACAGAGGTCTCCCGAAGGCCCCATGTGGACCTGGAGAGGCAGTGGTCGGCTCGCGCTGCCCAAGAGATTCAAGGAGAGGACCAATGAGATTGGAAGAAACCAGGGTGGTTCCCTCCAAAATAAATGATCAGGAAAGAGGATAGTTCCTGGGCTGTGAGAAGCCATCACAAAGCCTCAACAATTCAACAATACCCAAGTGGCAGTGTGTAGAGCCATGGTATGGGTCTGGATTTCAGGAGAGAGCGGCAGTGGATAGAGAGACAGGAGAGTTATCCGTCCATAAAGGGAAGCAAACGTCATTCACAAGCAGAGAGCATGCTTGATTGTTGTAAGATGCCCTTCACTGTCCTGGGTCAGCCTGACTCCTCAGGCTGGCCCTCTCATGTGGGTCCACGTGCAGACTCCTGGCTGGACTCTGCATGAGGCACACTACTGAACACAGGGACCAACCAGACTTGCTGCTGCTTGCCATTGCATCAGTTCTGCCTCCCAGAGACCCTGCGAGTGCAAAGTAGCAGTGCTCCTGGGGGTCGCAAGGATGTGGCTTTCCAGGAGTAGGTTGCAAGCTTGTCTTCTGAGGCACCTCAGCTTGGGATCAAACTATCAACCTTTGGGCTAAACTATCAACCTTTGGGCTAGTAATCCAGCACTTAGCCAGTTATGCCATTCAGGGGGCTCCATTCATGCAGCTGATGTTCAAACCCCACACCACAGCCTTGGATCCACTGAGAAGCAGAAGGAATTGGGTGCCTGCCCTCCTACAGAGATGAGTCTACAGTACCTGAGCAGTACGTTTAAAAGTAAGTCAGTTACGAAAGGACAACTATTGTATTCTTCCACTTATACGAAATGTCTAGAATAGGCCAGTAAATACACACCCAAGTTCACTAGTGGTTACCAAGAGGCAGGATGGGAGTGGGCAGGAGAGGGAGAGAGGACTTGCTGCTTTGGGAGCCCTGAGCTCCTGTTAAGGGTGATGGGGGATTTCGATAACAGATAACAGTGGTGGTTGCACAGCATGATAAGCACAATTCATACCATGAACTGTACATGGGGAAATTGCTGCCGTGGCAACGGTTTTGTGACAGACTCCTGCCACACCTGACAAACAAATACAAGCATCCTCGGGGAAGAAAAAGAGATGCACGAAACCCTATGTCCTACCTTAGAGGAAGTGGCCCATTTCCCTAATGCCTAAAACCAAGGAACAGCTCAGTCCCTTCAGAGGGAACTGAAGGAAGCACACCAATTCTAGACCAGAGGAATAGTTCTGATAGTAACACGTTCCTTAGAAGCAAGGATGGGGAGGTGCTGCCTCATGTACTCTGGACCTGTCGTCAGGAGGGGCCAGTCCCTGGGAAAGGACATCAAGCTGGGTCCAGGAGGAAGACCCTCAGGGAGATGGACTGGCAGTAGCTGCAGCAGTTGGGTAAAGGAGGAGGGCCCTGGGTAGAGGAGGAAGACATCAAGCTGGGTCAAGGGAGATGGACTGACATAGTAGGCAACAGTTGTTGGGGACAGCCCAGGCTGCGGTAGTATTCCACTGTATTGTGCACAGGGAGGCTGTGTGTCGGATCAATAGCTCAGCAAGCGCAAAGGCTGGGGACTCTCTGCGCCTCTTGGAGGCTGCCACGGGGTGCGTTTCCCTCCCCCTCTTAGTCCTGGGGAGTCCCAAGCTCAGACAAAGCAATGACTGATTCAAGGACGGTGTGACAGCTGGGGCTTAGGGACCCAGAATGCCCAAGGAAACTACCTGAGATGGAAGTGGAGGTGGGGGTGGGGTGGAGTCCGGAGCGTAGGTAGTGGGGGGGGTGGAAGTGGGGGTGGAGGGGAGCTTCCTTTCAAAGAGGAAGGGGACCGGCCACGTGGGAGGAAGCGATGTGGTAACTGAAGGTTTCATCGTTCACAACCACTTCCAAGAAGCAGCACCTGGTGTAGCCAGTATGGTCCTCCCCCGGACTGGGCTGGCTGGGGAGGGTGGCTCTGGGCTTCTGGTCTCTACCCTTCCCCTCCCGGCACTCGGAACTGACTTCCGAGCAACCCCTCCCGCCCCCAGAGCTCTCACCCCAAGATCATTCTCTCCCTCCTCCTCCAACTCCTCCGAGCCCAGATCCGACATGGCCTCGCCCCCGCCTGGGTCCCCGCCGACGCCGCTGCAGCCGAGGTGTCTCTACCCCTCGGGAATAGACAGCTAGCGGGGCAGCGTCCGGCGTTGCCTAGGAGAACTAGTCCGCCCCGCCTCCCTCCCGTTCTGGGCGGGAAGAGGCGTGGCTAAAGGCTCGGGGCGGGACTAGTGAGACCCGTAAGCTGTTGTCATGGCAACGAGAAGGCAAGGCGCGGGGAGGAGTCAGCGGCAGCCATAGGCTACAGCTCTAGCAGAGGAAGGGCGAATCCGCCAATCGCCGCCGGGAGTGGGCGTGGCGGGCCAGGGGCTGGACCCCGAGTGGGTACCGGAGCGAGCGGCCAGCGAGCTCGGAGCCTCTCTAAGCTGCAGTGGCGGCGCTGGTCACTAGGGCCCTTTAGGGGCCACCTTTAGAACTGAGCCTTAGCGCGCAGGGGTTGTTACAGAGAGTGCGTCTGGCACTGCCCCACGTCCAACGTGCCCCCCTCGGTCCGCGGGTCCCTGAGGGTTTGACCTGCGCCTTTTAAGATTTCTGGGCTCCTTGACCCTTTGGTACTGGCGATCCAGGGCTGGGACCACCGATATCTCTTCTTTTGTTTGCAAACAGCTCCGCCGCTCTAGAGGAACCAGAGCTGGTGTCTTGTGGATGCGTGTCCACACGGACGGCTGCCGAAGCTGGCATCTCTTCCCAACAAAGTGAATGCGGACCGTCTTGGGGGCTTCTAGGGGCCTCAGATTTGGGTGGCCCAAATGGAGCCCCATCCCTTTGCGTTTCCTTTACACACACACACACACACACACACACACACACACACACACACAGACACACACACACGATCACCCATTTGTCATTGGACCCCCTCCACCTGCCCTTTCCCCTTAGCTTCCTTTTCCCTCAGCCCCACATGCAGTCACCTGGCACTCCTGCCCAAGGACCTCCTGCTCTCCTTTCCATCTGTCATCGCCCCAGGACGAGGCCTTCCTACTCCCACTCCCATGTCTCAACGTCAGCTCTAGAAATCACCTCCCACTGAACCTCTAGGTCTGCGCCTCCGGCCTCCTTAGCCACCCTGCACCCCTCCTCGAAGACGATTGTATAAAAGCATGTAGCAGAACTCAAAGCTCCCTGTGTTAGTCTGGGTTGACTAGAGAAACAAATCCAGAGGCACTCATACATGTGTAATAGAGAACTTTATATCAAAGAGTAATTGTATATGAAGATACCATCCCAGGCCAGTCCAAATCAAGTCCATAAGTCCAATATTAGCCCATACGTCTGATACCCATCTATAAATTCCTCTTCAGACTCATACAACACATGCAATGACGCCAAATGCAGGAAGATCCCAGGCCAGTGGGTGGAAAGTCTTGTGGATCCAGTGGCATTGTAAGCATCTCAGCGCTGGCAGGGATCTCCATGTGGCTCCTCCAGTGTAGCTCCATGAGTCTTGTCAGCAGAAATACCAAGCAGAGAGTGTGTGTCCCATCTCCAGGGAGGAAGACAGGAGCTCCCAGAATCCTCAGGAGAAGGTCATGCCCAGACAGAAGCATTATTGGGTACAACCTAATTGACAGGATAGGCTCCATCCCTTCCTCAAGCTGACAGGAGATTATGTAACTGCCACACTTCCCATGAGAACACCACCATCTTTGCCTTGGTCAACTGGAAATCACATGCATCATTCATGGGGGAAAGGCAGAGACTTGACAGCATACGACATGGAGATATGGGTGCAACAAATCAGCAGACGCAGGAGTGAGATGGGAACCTTATCGGTGAGTCAAGTCAAGGTCAGGGGAGGGGAACATCTAGATTTCTACGGAGGCATTGACACTTCTGTTGGGTAAGTGGGGAGGAGCCACCCAAGGGGAGCATCAGACCCATGCTACGTTCTTGGTTAGATACTTTTCAACTCACCCTCGGTGACCCACCCATGGGTTCTGCACTATGGTGACCTTTCAGGGAATATGACATCCCTCACAGGCCACACCAGAAAGACTCAATGTGGACACTCCATTAAATGAATGGACCGAAAACCCCCAAACTCACTGCCATGAGTCAATACTGACTCACACAGCTTGTGTCCCCATCCCACCCCTACCCCACCCCACCCCCACCTTCTGCCCGTGATTTCTGAAACTATACTGTTGACAAGAGTAGAAAGCCCAGTCTTTCAATGGCAGAGATGCTGGTGGCTTCTACCTGTTGACCATGCAGATTGAAGCCCAACGTGTAACCATTACTAAGCTCTACCTCAAAATGACCTGTCGCCCTTGACTTAGGACTGAACTCCCCTGGTGTGGGAAGAAAAGAAGGATGGCCGCCCCAAGGCAGTGCAGTTGGCAGTCGGTGACCTCGGTTAGGATCCCCAGGTTGGCAAGCGTTCAATGAAAGGTGGTCCGGAAACACCGCATGTTCACTGTTGTCATGCCTTCCTTGCTTTACTAACATGTGCTAATCCCACAGCCAGGTTCTTCCTTGTAAATGAATGTGACTGGAAATCCTGCCCCCCAGCCCCCAAGACCCACGGTCAATGTAAACAGAGTCCAATCATTTAAGAGTTCAATCTCTATAAATGAACAACTCGTGGATCATGGTTCGTAGCTGAGCTATACGTGCCTAACTTTCTTTTTATAGCAGTATGTAAATTATAAGCCATTGGATAAATTAATGACTCTCTCAATAGAATTGCCTCCTGCGCCAGAGGGGTGATTGATACTATTTTATCTCCCTCATGACCTATTTTGGATCTATTCTAGGTTTCAACATTTCCTACTGTTTTCTCAACAGAGGTTTTTTTTTCTCTTTAGTATATTTTAATACAGTTGTTGGTCTTGGCTTTCTTTTTAAATATATGTGCTGTTTTTTAAAAAAATGTTTTCCAGTAATATGAAGCACAGGCTTGGGGGATACATAAAGACAATAATTGGTGTCCTGGCTCCTGGGTGTGGGGAGACAGAGGTTGGAGGGAAATGGGGAGTAAATAATGAATAAAGGAGGGGAGAGGGCGTTCTAGAACTGACTGTGGTGATGTACATACAACTCTTTTCAAATACGCCTGACCTATGGAAGTGTATGATATGTGAATTATATCACAATAAAACTTTGGGGGGGAAACAAAAGAAAACCACATCCATCCTTCAAAGACTAGTGAATGCACCATGTCCTGGGAATGCTCCAGGTTCGAGAGCTAAGGACCCTTTGAGGACAGCAAGGCGAGCAGAGCTCCAAGAAGGGAACAGAACGTCAGCTCTCGGAATCCATCTGCCTTCTTTACAGTCCCAGCGAGTGTGGCAGAGGATAAGTCTTGAGTGCTCTTCATCACAGAGTAGTGTGTGATATAGTTGTGCCCTGTTTAAAATGCACATTTTGGACACTATATGGATAACAACAACAAAATTGTTTTCTAAAATCTATCTACCTTGAATGACATCGTTATTAGTGATTAAGACAAAGCACTTTTAGTGTTTCTCCTTTTCCTTTAATTATTCATTCTCAGATGAATAATGTGTGATGCAGTTTCACAAATACTACTTACCACAACACTCTAGCTATCAGAAAATTTGACAAAATCAGTGACCATCAAAGCACTGAGAGCGCTGAAAGTGACAGCAGGGCGCCCTGCCCAATGCAGACGCGCCCACGTGATTTGAGTCCTCATTGTAATGGGCAATTACAACGTGTTTCCTAATCATGCTCTGATGATGCATTTTCTGAAAGCAAATTGGCATAAAGTTTTAGCCTTGTTGACATACGGATACATGTAAGGCGGCCTAAAGAAAAATGGTTTTTGTTGCTATGCCTAACTACAGGGATATTTTTTATTAAAAAATAATTCATTTCTGCTGAAAGTACACAAAGCTCTGTCCTCAGACTCCGCTGGGGACAACACTTGCTTGATGTCAATTATATGGAGAATGACCTCAAGATCATGATATTGCTGTAGATTGAAAGACTGTGTGTGTGTGTGTGACTAATTTGTACGAGCTATAAATCAAATGGTAAATTTTATGATTCAGTAGCGCTTGGACTTGACACACAACTGCTAATCTCCTGTTTTAGAACAAGGCTGTAAACCGTCCAGGAGCAGCCTGCCATGCGTTTTTCTCCCCCTCGGCAGCACTTTCTTTGTTAGGAGAGGAGCGCTTCACCTCAGCACCACCTGTTTCTTCACCGAAGTAACAGAAGCCTCTCCCATTTCAGCTCAGATCCAACCAAGAACCTCAGCTGCCTGCAGCAGTTTAAGTGCCATGACCCGGAAGTGCTTGGAGATTCACAGAAGTGACCCTTTCAAATTGTGAAAGTCCTCAAAACATTCGTCCTTCTCGTTTCTTTGGGAAAATATTGGACAGGATGGTATGACACCACCAAGAGGGTTTTTGGTTTTGTTTCACTGAAAAAGGAGGAAATCTTCCACCTCTTAAAACCCTGATCCAGGAGGAGCTTTCCACAGTGCACCTGCTGCCCTTTCCCATCAGGTGCTAGAGAGTGTTCTCATTGCCCTCCCGCAGAGGGGTGTCCCATCACCCACTGGCAAGGCTCACCCATCATCCCCCAACTTGTTTCCCATCATGCACCAGTGGTCGATGCAGCCCCTACAGAGGAAGGTAAGGTCGAGGGTCTTAGCAAGATAAGCCGTACATGTGTGGAGAGGGTGCTGCCCACGGTTCAGCCTACCTCCATTTCTCCAGTAAGAAATTACTTCCTTTCCTTTGTTCAATATAAATGTGGGACACCAGATTTCTACCTTTGCCTCTAGGACCCATCCCGAGACCAACCTCCCCCGCAAAAAAGAAATGAGTAAAGGAAAAACACCGTCCCTGGCTGAGCAAAGTGGGTCGCCATTGAAGAGCTGCAGTGCCTTCTGCTTCTGTGTCTGCTTCCAGAGACCCCAGAGATCCTGGAAAGCAGCCCTGGGACTCTGCTACCAAGCCTTCAACCACCTTTCATGCCAACCTCCAGCCTTGGAGCGGGGGCAACCTGGCTGTTGCCTTGGCAACTGGCCAAGTCCCCAAGCTTAT